TATTGATTATCAGAGCGGTGCCAAGATGAAACAACTAAAGAAAAGTTGAAATCCTACCTCTACATATAAGATGCTTACATCTGCACTACTATAGGTTACCTTTTATGTGTTTATCGAGGCTTCCGCCTTGCATATATTCGAAGCAGAGCACTCGCTCCACCGTTTGTAAAACAAGCTCCCCCTTGAGCTCCATGTATTTGTGCCGAGACTCGTAGCAGTAGCCAATTAGCCGCACCACATTTTGATGGCGTACCTTACTAAGGTTGCAGAACTCGATGGCGAATTGCTTATCATCGAGTCCATGCAAGGGGTGAAACTTCTTCACGGCAATCTCTTCCCCTTTATAAATTGCCTGATAAAATCACCACTTGTCATGGCACATATCGTGATTATAGATGTGAGAAGTACAGATGGAAAATATGACAATTAGTCGACCACTTGTCATTGTATAGACCGTGATTACAAATTTGAGAACTAATCATAGTAAATACAACAAGTAGTCGATCATACCCTGTAAACATCTCCGAACCCACCGCTGCCAACCTTCTGATCCTCTGCAAAATTGTTTGTAATAGTTTGAATCAATTGGAAATTAATATCCATATTGTGGTTGTTTTCCACCAGCAGGCTTATAGGACGAGATCTTCTTCTGTCGCTCTGAGAGGAAAAAAATAGTTATTTCAATGCAGCATTGTTAAACTGCCTGCAGCACCTAGAAACATGAATAATTGAAACTTCATCCATATAGAATGTGTTTGATTACAATAAGGTAACCAACACTGTAAATGTAGTGCGTAAAATCTAGATTCTGCTTGGTACATGGATGTAACAGTCGGACCCCAATAACGCGCCGACGACAGCTGAGGGAGGTCAGCTGAGTGGACTATTGTTTGCTATGGGAGGTCATTCGAGCAAACGCCGCCATTTGGGAGCGTTCCCTCAAAAAACCAGTCCCAGGGAGCACTTGAGAATTTTCATGCTAAAACATATATATTTGTCATGCTACAAAGAAAGATTTGCCATGTTTGTAAAGAAAACATTGCCATGTTTTTTTTCCCCTGACATTTTTTTTGAAAAGGAGGAATCACCCCCGGCCTCTGCATCTGGGAGATGCATGCGGCCATATTATTTATTATTCACAAAAACTTTACAAAGAAATACAACAGTAAGTCCGAGGCCACCATCTAGACGATACTTGTCGCTACTCCTATTCTCTTGATGAAGGTGTGCCGAATGTCCGGGGCCAAATACCAAACAGACATCGCACAAAAGCCTAATATCTAACGCCGGATGCCCCATCCAAAGCCACATAGGCGAGACTGGGTAACACTCCGGTCTGGCGCACTCTCAGTGAGTACCACACGCACACGCTGCAAAGGGCCGTCACCTCCGTCTTCCCTCGATCCATCCTCAAAGCATGTACTGACGTATCGACCTTGTCAGGCCTCTCTGCCATCGACGCCACCACGACGCCAGACAACGCCAACCTCCTGCGCGTGTCCATCGCCACACATCTGACGCCAAGCCTCCCCGAGAACCGCCTCCAGGAATATGTAGAAATAAACACGGCTCCACCGAAGAAGCCATCCGCTGGTCCCTCGAGCCCGAGTGCAACTCCAAGAATGCCGCCCCCAAGGGGGTAACGACACATGAATGCCGTCGTCATCCGATCAGCTGATCTAGGGTTTCCCTCGGAGGTATTGGGTGGGGTTGGGAGCTTCACCTCGATGATGCCTTCATGAAGGAAACGATGATAAGGGCATCGTCATCACTGGCTCCGGCCAACGACCGAAGAACAAGTTTTCACCCGGATCCGTCCCAAGAAATCCACCCGACAACCTATGCATTGTCTCATGCCGCGTGACGCGTTGTAGGTGGGTCGCGCGAGCCTACTGCCTCATGCTTCTTCCCGGCGGCGACCACGACGCAGTCCTTGTTCCATGCTCCAAGAGCCAGAGCATCTCGTGAAGGACCGCCTCCTCGACGCATTTCGCGTGCTGAGCCCCCGGAGCTAGAGGTGTCTAGCATTTTTTTTTTCATCTCCAAATTAGTACTTATTTGTCCAAGAAGCTTTATCTGCTATTGTATTCCTAATTTCTTACAGCTCATTTCAACATGCAAACTTCACATTGGATTCCAAAAACTCACCTTGATCTCGAAGATGCTAATTGTGTAATGACCACCGTGTGTGCCCCTGTATAATTAAGCCTTGTTTCGGCCAGCTGGTTATTTTAAATGGGGTTCAGTCCTGTCATATGCAATTATGCATCTCAACTACCAGTGCTGGGTCCACCTTACTCAGTGGCGGATGAAGGAGCAAAACACCCCAGAGCGAAACAGTAACATGGACCATGCAAGTGTGGTGCCCAGTATAGCATACCATTTATTGGAACAGATGACAGATGCGTTCTCTGAGGATCAGGAACTTGGCAGAGGCACATACGGAAAAGTCTATCTGGTACGCTTAATATGGTTTCCAAAAACAATTTCATGCAGTTAGTGCAGGCGGTAGCACCAGACATGTAAATTAAGACACAGTTCACATTATATGGTGAACAAATCATTGTCCGCTTCATTTGTATCTACTATTGAGGAAAATATAATCCGTTACTTGCTTGAAGTGCAATTGCATCCATCGCAAAGAAAATTATTCATGCGAATTTATTTAGGTGCATACCGAGGACAGATGAGACTGTATTTTGGTCTCTATTGATCTTCGCAACTATTCACTTGGGTGTCAGATTTTGCACTGTTTTGTGATCATCTGTCATGCAACAAACATTGTATATCAGTAGAGGATTTGCGTCACCACATATTCAAACATGAGTACCATTTTGTGATTTACACCTGTCATATATATCGCTACATTAGTAGAAAATTAAACCAAGCATGTGAGACATTGAATAGGGATTGCGTGCGAATGGGGAGAAGATTGCTGTGAAGATGCTTCATCCCATTCTAGGACTTGATGATGAGCTATTTGAGAAGGAGTATCACAACCTTGAAATTCTCCAACACCAGAATGTTGTGCGTTTAGTTGGCTATTGCAATCGGCGGGAGTATGTGCCATACAATGGGAAAATGGTTCTTGGTGAAGTGACACATAGGGCGCTTTGCTTCGAGTATATGCAAAATGGAAGCCTTAATGATTATCTCTCTGGTATGATGCATAATGTCCTACTTGTATTTACCTCAAAAAAATTCTCTACTTGTATTAGTATGTAATATCATACTTTAATATAATCTTTTTGTGGATGCTCTTCATTGCTATAGATGAATCTAGTGGACATGGTTGGCACACATGCTACGCAATAATAAAAGGAATTTCCAAGGGTTTGAAATACCTTCATGAGGAACTGGAACCTCCGATGTTTCATTTGGACTTAAAACCAGCCAACGTATTGCTGGATGAGAACTGCGTGCCTAAAATTGGCGATTTTGGATTGTCAAGGCTAATCGATGAACGAACGCGTATCACTACAAGTTCTGTAGGAACAATGTAAGCTTAGTGGTTCTCCATGTCAATTGAAATTTTTTGTAATCAAGTAATTTTGTTTGCATTTGACACACGGTATCAGTAATATGTATGATGTGTCATGCAGTGGGTACTTACCGCCGGAATACATAAATCATCATGTAATTTCTAATAAGTTGGATATATTCAGCTTGGGTGTTATAATCATAAAGATAATGGCAGGACCCATGGGCTACTCAAAAAGTGCTGAAATATCTTTCCAACAATTCATTGAGCTTGTAAGAAAAAGGAGTTTCCTTCATCGTTATTAGTTGTATATGTTTCACAAATGGTACTTAATTATGCTAATATATCCATTTCTGTTTAAAATTACCAGGTACATAGAAATTGGAGGAATAGGCTACAGGCAGCGTCAGTGAATGCACTGGAGTCCTATTGCATACAAGTAAAGAGGTGCATTGAAATGGCTTTAACTTGTGTGGAGGTTGACCGACATAAAAGGCCGACTATAGGAAACATCCTTAATAAGCTAAACGAGACAGAAACTGCAAGTCAATTTCCTGATGCGTTACTAAAGGACCCTGGGTCAACAAAGAACCAGGTGCGATCATTAACGGCACAACTGTGTTTTAATATGATTATTTTCCTGCCTAGAAATATTTGACCAATGGGCTATGGCCATACAATTAATATGTTTAATCCTGACATACTATATTCTGAAAAAAATTAATTATAGGGAAGAACGCTTACAACATTGGGAATACATGTGCTTGAAAGATTGATTTCGTAAAATGAATTAAGCCGGGAAAAATCTGAATAAAAGGATAAAATAAAAGTTATTTACTCTAAATCCCTAATATATATGTTTTTGTTAATGTGTCGTTGGATGCTTGATAATGTAACACCCTTGTTTAACCAAATTATTATAGATTTCGTAGTACTGTTGATTTGGTAAGGTAATGCCTTTTCAAATAGATTTTTAGCTTCTAGGTTTTGAGGGAAACACAATCTCCAATTCCTTAGTGGGCTAGATTGTGAAACAATAATTCTTGAAGAAAATGACTTGCATTGTCAAACAGAGGGGATATTCTAAATCCGCCTGTAGCTTTAACCAGGTGAATTAAGGTGCATTTGAACATTCGTATAACAATTAGCTTTGTTTGTGCTCTGAACTATATTTTCTCAAAGGAAAATATTGTTTGAAATTTTCTTGAAATGTTATTTCTAGAAATTTACATTCATAAAAAAGAAAAGTTGCCAGCACACCAAGCAGTCTATCCTGGTGGGAAGCTATTTTTTCGAAAAGGAGGATAACCCCCGGCCTCTGCATTATGGCTCTTGGATCTCCCAAATGAACTATGCAGTCCACAAGACACCCGTTTATATACAAAGTGGGTGGTTGTCAAATATGTGCCTCCAAATGTGCAGGAAAGCCAGCAAACTCACATAACAGAAGCAGAAGAAAAACGGGAGAGAGAAGAAGTGAGCGAAACAGAGAATTGCTTTGGTGAAGTAGTCGACAACTACAAGTTGGATAAAATGGCGAGGTACATGGGCAAACACAAGACACGGGAAGACCGAGCACGAGAGGCATGGAACCTGGTGGACGAGCATGACAAGGACAACGAAGCTTCTAGGTATGTCAAGGGTCTGAAGTCCTTCTACGGCAATGGACAGTCAACGTTGTGCCGTGTGTATAATGCGACCGGAGACACCCTCTACCAAGTCGCCAACTACGACTGGTCTGGCCACATCGGCAGGGCTCCATACCCAGCTACGATTGGCAACGGTCAGTGGGCAGCATTCCATCACATTCACCGGGCCGGTGAGTCGTCAGGTTCGGTAGCTGCTGTTGTGTACCGAGGGAAAAATAAACATGGGCAAGACAAGGACTACATAGTTGCCTGGAGTACCCCATGTAGTTTCTGGCACCGCAACAAGGTACATATATACATCCTAATTGTAATCAATTATTCCTACTTGAGTTCAACTGGTTTTCTGTTTCTAAGCAACATGAAAATTTGTATTTCTAGATCGATTGGTATGCAACTTCAGTGTTTGAAATGTGCAACCGCACAGTTGCACATTTCTAATCCTGGAGTTACATATATTATCTAAGATATGCCAATGCCTCTGTTAGATCTAAGAACCTAAGGCTTGCTTTCTAGACTTCAGATTTAACGAAATTATTATCAAGTAGGATTTCACACCCCCACAGTTTTTGTAATTCTTAGCTGTTTGGACTTATGTAAATCTCAGTCACCTAAACTGCAAATTAGTTAGCCCAAAATTGCAGTATCTGAATGAGTGCAAATTTACTCAGACGCCAGGCAACTTTTTAGTTCGTAGGTTACAATATGCAGCGACTTTTTTTCTATAAAGGGTGTATTTTATTGACTCATAAGGTAGCATCAAGAGAAGACAAGCATTATGAGTACACCCAGCCTCTGCATAGCTAGGATGCACACAGCCAACACCAACATATATGCAGTGACTTGGAGATGAGGATGGTTAGATGTTGATCTGAAGGCCTAAAACTTAACTGGGATTTAAGAAAAATTCAGGCACTTACGAATATATATATATAACCCCTGTTATTGTTAACATGTGCTGGCTTATTGTGGGATCAGTGATGTCGACTGGTTTCAAAAGAACTTGGAGCATCTTATGTACATCATTTCCGATGCTGATTATTCTTCTAGCTACAGATCGGGCGGGTGTGAGATTGAAGCAAAAATTGGCAGAGGTCATAGCCCTAAGTTTACTGCAAGAATCAGCTATCGCTCATCAGCCATCTTCAGCATTGTGCTAGGCTTATTAAGTTCACTTGTCGTGATCACCCGATTGCATCGCTAATCGTGGCCTGTAACCATTGCAACAACTGCATTGTCCAAGAAATGTATGACCTGCACTGTATGTACCAGTAGGGAACCTCTTGCCAGTTCCCACTTCCCAGGGATGTTATTAGGAATCATAGGCCAATTATTACAAATTTTATGATCCTCACGGGTTTGTTAAATTTTGGACAAACTGCGCATAAACAGTTCGAATCACACATGAAACAGATTCAGAGTTTCCTTTCAATCAGGGAGGCCAGACTCTGCCCAGTGCCGACCAGTGTGTCTCTGTCCAGTCCTAGCCAAAAGGTACTGAAGCGTGGCACTGTCAGAGGATGCAGCGTCCGGCAGAGTCGCAGTTCGTGCTTCTCTACGACTGCTACTCATCTGAGTATGCCGATTGCAAACTGGATTCAGAGTTTCAGACTCGCCTCCTTCAACCTTAATTCCTGATGATTCTGCGGCTGACCACTGAGCTACCCCGGCCGAGTGTGAGGTGTGTTTTGCTTCCCCTTAGCATGAATCATTTTTGGCAGTGCATGATAGTTCGGAGTTGATGCTTACGTTTCTCGAACAAACAATTTTTTTTCTTCTCTGTGTCTGGTACAAAAACTAAGCAATTATTTGTCCAAGAACCTTAGCTGCACCCTGTATCTCCCACTCCACATTTCGGTACGCAGATTGCACACTGGATTAGGACTGATCACCTAGATGGGGGCTCGCCCTGGATGCCCCTGTAGTAGAACCTTGTTTCAGTCAACTATTTAATTTACATGGGGTTGGGTCCCCTGATTGTGATACCCATTTCAACAATCAGTGCTGGGTCCATCTTAATAATTAAGTTCCTACTTGCAATGGCTGTCCACTTGAACAAATCACGCCTCTCCGACGAGTGCCATCGTTCTCACTGCGGATCTTGTCTTGAGTTAGTGATTCCAAAAAGCTTAGCTACATTCTGAAGTACTGAAACTAGCAATTTGTTGTCCAAGATGCATTCTGAATCTCTTACTCTCATTCGATATGAAGATTGCCACTGGATTCCGACTCCTACTCATCGCTTAATTTGAAAAATGGCGTCATGTGGTTTCATTCTGATGAATGGAGCCGGGGAGATGGTCTCCCTGTTCATCTAAAACCTTGTTTCGGTCAACTACCTTAATTTAAATGGGGTTGCGTCCCTTGATATCCATCTCAATAATTGGTGACGGGACCCTCTTAATAATTAGTAACTCCCTACTTGCAATGGTCGGCGATTTCAACAAATCACGCCACTTTGACGAGTGCCATCGTTCTCGCTGTGGATTCTTTCTAGACTTAGTGATTTCAAGAAGCTGAGCTGCATTCTGAAGTATGGAAACTAGTGATTAGTTGTCCAAGATGATTTGCTGCATCCTGAAGTACCAAAACTCGTAATCAGTTGTCCAAGATGCTTAGATGCATTCTGATTTCTGAATCTCCTACTACTCATTCGATATGGAGATTGCCACTGGATTCCGACTCCGACTCAGTCACTTAATCTGAAGATGGGTGCCATGCTGAGATTCTTTTCTTATAAAGGGAGGATCACCTCCGGCCTCTGCATTAGAGTGATGCATGCAGCCCTTTTAGTATTGAACAAAGTGTCCGAAAGGTGAGGCTCACCTTGGATGCCCCTATATAATGAAACCTTGTTCCGGTCAACTGCTTATTTAGTTCAAATGGGGTTGGGTCCCTCGATACCTATCTCAACAGTCCATGTTGGGTCCACCTTAATAATTAAGTTCCTACTACTTGCAATGGTCGACCATTTCAACCGGCCATTTGGATAATCAATGCTTTGCTAGCCACCTGCAAACCGCTGCAATTTAATCCGTTTCCATGCCTGACCTGCACCTCAAAAACTGTGTCTTGGTCCATCTTTAGACCAAGCACGAGCTTGCGACGCATTCTTCTTCCACTGAACCCACGAGTGCCATGCTTTCTCGCTGCAATCTTTTTATTTTCCAAGGTTGGTGCCTTCTCCATTACTCTGCTTCAAGGTTTCTTCAAGCTAGTTGGATAAAAGACGGTTGGTCCCTTCGCCGTTGCTCTCTTTCTTGTGCACTTCTTTAACAACCTGCTTGTTAATTCTGTTCCTGTTTTCTCTTTACAGATCTGTATTTTACTGACAAACCTGTACTTATAAACATGTAGTTTCTCTCTCTCACGCACCAGTTTCTTTCTGTTCTTCTACCAGATGAACAGTAGCATGGACCATGCAAGTATGGTGCCGAGGATTATGGCGTATCACTTATTGGAAGAGATGACAAATGGTTTCTCTGAGTACCGGGAGCTTGGTCGAGTCACGTACGGAAAAGTCTATCTGGTAGGGTAATATGGTTTCCTATCACAGTTTCATAAAATTAGAGAAAGGGGTGATACAACACTTGTAAATTGAGACACACTGCAGTGTACACATTATTTGGTCTACAAATTATTATTGGATTCATTTTATCTACTAAGGAAGGAAAGAGAGTAGTTTATTAGTTACTAGAGGAGCAACTATATCCAGCTCATGGGAGGAGCATCATGCTAATATATTCAGGGGCATGCCGGTGACATATGACTCGCATTGTTCGAGTACGTTGGGTACAATATACTGTGTTCTCTCTCGCGCGCACACACAAAAGTTGTTCCCTCTTTCAAATGATTTGCTTTCATACTTGACCTTTCACTTCCGAATGCTCTTTTGTATCATTCAACAAGAAATAAAACCCAGAAGAGGCTATGTATTATCACATACTCAGTCATGAGCATCATTTTCTTCTTTACATTTGTTACATATATCAGTAAAAATTAAAAGTTCCTCCTAATCTCAACATTAGTTCTTCCAACTTAAAAGTTCCTCCTAATCTCAACATTGACTCAACAGAATACTTCGAAGAGCATTAAGGATGTGAATTTAAATGCTAATGCATGCTGACAGGCTTATTGCGAGATCGGCCAAGTAAACTACTTCCAAACACGTTGGGATGATGTACTCAACAGGCTGTTAAATTCTGGTTACTCTTCACACGTCAAGTCTGACGGATGCGAGATTGATTCAAAAATTGGCAAACGTGATTACCCTTTTTTTACTGCAAAGATCACCTCGCTGGTCGGTCATCTCCAGCATTGTGCAAATACCTATTTAGATTAATTAGTAGATAGTCAGTTAATTCCATTTGTGATGGCATGCCGGATGTTGGCATTCTTATGATCACGTGATAGCATCGCTGTTAGTTGCCTATATTTCAAGCAGTCCACATACAATCACACGGTCCCAGAAGTAACTCGAACATTTTGTGATTTTATTCAAATATGAGTCTGTCAAGAAAATGTATCATCTGATGCAACACAGGCTACCAAACAGGCAAAAATTGTATCACATGGGCCTGTCTGGGCAATAAGCAGATTAAAGTGGCACGGAGTGTATGGGCGTTACCAGAGTAGGGCCTGGTCAAGCACATGTGTCAGCACCAGATCAC